CCCACAACCCTCACGTTCCGGGAACACGACACAGGTTGGGGGCAAGCACCAGGCAGAGGACATGACAAGACCAGCAATGGCCCCTGGTCCTGCTGCTCGGAACTGCTCCCTTCTGGGCCCTCCCCCGGGGGCATCCTCTCCATCCGGGGGGCTGCCGGGAAGACGGGGAACCGTGAGATGGGTTGTCTTGGCCGCCGGCGCGTCCAGGAGGCCCAGGGACCTCGGGCGACGGGAAGCAGCTGCTGGGCTCAGCAGCCCGTCTGCCATGGGTCCGAGTCTGCAGTGGGTCCGAGTCTGCTGTGGGTCCGGAGTGAGCCCTCCCTCCAGGCCTCCCTACCCCCTCCTCCGAGAACACACAGCTCAGCAAGGAGGCCACAGCCCACCACCCTCCAGCTCCCACAGAAAGAGGGAAAACATGAATTTTGGCAAAACAATTTTATTGCTTAAAAAAATAAATGTTGCATCTGACATAGAAAGTCATTTTAAAACTCTGAATGTGTGTGTGAGGCATCTTTAAGAGCCCAGTATTCCCACAGAAACCGGGGCAGCTCTCTTGGCAAGAAGGCACCAGTCTTGCTGCTTTGGTGGGAATGGGGCGGGGGGGCGTGTGTGTGTGTGTGTGTGTGTGTGTGTGTTCTGCCCACCACCTCCCCACCACCAGGGGTCTCACCGGCTCCCTGCTCCTCCCGTCAGGAGCCCCTTACCGTCAGGAGCCCCTTACCGTTTCCCAGCCCGGGACAGAGGACAGGGACGCGATCCAGACCCAACACCCGCTTCAGCGCCCACACCGCCCCCCCCCCCCCAGGCGTCTTGCTGGCAACTGCCCCTGAGCACCCGACAGCGGGCCTTCCCAGGTGTAGACCAGGCGCAGGTGAGGGAGGCCCTGCTGGCATCTTCCCTCACCCGGTTCTTCCAAATGCAGACCCGGGGGTGGAGGGAGTGCCCTCCTCCTCGTGGAATTGCCGCCTGAAAAAGCCAGGGGCACCCCGAGGCCTGTGGGGCCCAGCAGAGCACAGGGGGGTGGGTGTGGGGGGTACACTGCAGCCCCATTCTTCACGCCAGCAAGTGACCGTGGGGACTGGCCCTCTGGAGTCTGTCCTGGGGCAGCAGGTGCTGACCGCACTGGCCTGTCACTGGCCCCTGCCCTGTCACCACTGGCCTTTCCTGGGGCTGTTCCCCAACAGGCGCCAGGCGGCTTCTCTCCGTGTGACTGGGCCTGCGGGAGCGTTGGCTGAAGATAAAGACGCGCTTGTCAAGGCCGATGCAGGCGTGAGGCTGTGGGCATTTCCACCGAGAAAACTTGTTTCTGAGAACTAAAGTGTAGGAAAGGCCTGATGGAAGGTCTCTCCTCCTTTCTACCCCACCACCCCGGGGGAC